TATAAAATTGTGTATACTTGTGTATGTAGTATAGTAAAATATTAACAATATAGTAAAGCCGCACACCTGGATTAGATAGATCAGGCAATCTATGTTTACCTGCTTTACTGAGGCTCATGTGACAAGCATAGGCCATATTTCATCAGTTCTTGTTAACCATTTCAGTGAAAATGTGATGATGGTTTTGATATAAGAAGGTAGATGTGTAAGTCCATCCAGAACTGCCCATGCATTTTGCTTCTCTAAGATCTTAACCTCCTCAAGCTGTTGAAGAGGGAGATAAGAACAACATTCTATAAATGTAGGAAATAAATATGTGTTTGTTTATACAGAGATTTGGAGAAAAGGCACAGCCTATGAATTCTTTGTGAGGTTACATGTATGGCTGCATGGCTATTAAGGTGTCAGTTCCAATACCACTTTCCTGAAATCTTTCTCAATGGGATGATTTAGATATACAAGCCAGCTGTTTTCTGGACTCCAAAAACAAATTTCTATGGGAGCATAGTGAAATTCATAATAATATGATGAATCTGATGAATTGCTGTTATTTTCTTAGTATGATTCCAGTCAGAGTTCAAAAACCATTCTCATGGTGGCAGATGCTCTTGCCACTGTTCTCCATCATGCAGTGTGCCTGTGCCTTACTAAATGTTGTCTGGCAAGAAAATGAGGGGCAGAAATGATAATATGACCTACAGTCTTTGGCTAGTCTGAGGCCCCAAAAGAAAGTGACCACTCTGCCTTTGAAAGAACCACCAAGACTCAGTATTCTGGAATGGATTGTGATGCTGAGTACTTCTGCCAAACAGCTACTCTGTAAAATCAGCATAATGAGTTTGAATTTAATGTTCTTTTGAGAGCAACAAAAACAAACCATCCACTACTATTTGTGATTAATTTCAAAAAAGTAAATCACATAACAAAAGAAGATATTTGTGAGTAGAATCTAGTAATTACTAGAATCTAGCACAGAGAATAATGAAAGAAACTGTGTTGGATTTTAATTTGAAAGCTGAGAAAAAGAGGCTTGAGCACAAGAGAAGTTTTAGACAAAGTATCACAGCACAATACTAGGAAAGGACTGAAAAAGGACTGTCAGCTCAGAGCACATTTTACATACAGAAATCAGAAATCATAAAATAACAGCTCACAGGGAAAACTTTAATTTTACGTAGGGAGAATGCCACAGAGAATAACTCTACTGAGCCAGCTTCTATGTGGCCACTTACACAATGCAATACAAATCAATCCTAAACGTACAGTAAAAGTCTCAATCTGCACTGCATTACGTATCAGATACATGGCACCATAACACTGTATACATAACTGTATGTTGCCATACAGTTTCAGTCTTCAGAAAATTTGAGCTAGGTACTAACAACAGTAGGAAAAGGATAAACTGATTTATTTTTAGTTATGTTCTGAAGAAACGCAGGAAAAATAACCCAATTGTTTTAAATGATTTATATAGTCAAAATATTGAAATATTATGTCTGACATTCTTAATGTAGTGCTTCAGGAGGCAACCTTTCCCAAGATTTCAATGAAGCAACACAGCTAAAATCAGTCTATAAAGCATCCAAAATTAGGCAAGATTATTTTGAAAGGATTCCAGGTATCAATAACATAAAAAGAATGCCTGAATTAGAATATATATTAGAATTCCTTCTCTGGCAGCCATCCAGTTCCAATGACACGACGTGTCCACGTAAACATGCATACATTCAACACTTGTTTTTTTCTATGGGGGGAAAAAAGAAGGCAAACTACAACAGCATAACTCAAGTAGTCAGGCAGACAGGTTTTTGTGTTTTATTTGAGAAGGGTAACTTTAATATAGATATTGCTGCCTTGCATAGAAAAGGCTTGTTGCTGTTCTGTCAAATACTTTTAAAAGTAGGACCTGGAAGCAATCTTTAATGGCTCTTAACCATTGGTTGCTTATTCAGTGGTCTCCCACTGGAGGTGCAGTTTTTCCAGCATACAGACCTTCTGGGGGAAGAAAAAATTGACAGCAAACACCACTTTTAAATTGTTACCTGACTTTAACCAAATTAACATGTGGATAGCTCTCTTGTAATGCAGCTCATGTTTGTGGGCAACATATGTTCATCTAAGTACAGAATACACAAATATAGGAAGTTCTTTGTATACCTGAGAAAGATTGTAATACAAGAAATGTTTCTGGGAGCCAACTCTCCATCTTCAGCAAAAGCATTTAATAAATTCTCTTGTGTCTGGATTGATAAAAGCATCCAGCAGAACAATCCAGCTCAGCTTTTTAAAGAACCCACAAAAAGATCAGCAGAATTGCTAATCAAAATCCTTGGTGATGAGAATGCCATTTGCTTTCCAGTGTGCTGCTGAACGTTCAGCTGAGATTTCTTTTTATGTCCTACAATACAGGGGATTAGAGATCTCTGTCCGATTACGTTACCAGCATTTCCTCTGCTGCGTTGGCTCTTTGGACAGATGAACTCAGTCTCTGTTTTGAATGAAGTGGTCAGCCTTGATCTATTTTAGCTAGTGGTGAGAGATTACACTTGGTGGCCATTTGCCATCTCTGCAGCGAATCTGAGAAGTAGATGAGGGAGGTATTGTCTTGCAAAGAGGGACAGCAAGGGGTGGGAACAGCTACTCGAACTCAAGCTTAAAACTCCCATTGAAGTAGTAGAGTGCTCACTCATTAAAGTGGCATTTAATTTCACTTCACAAGTACAAGGAAGACTTTCAGGTGTAAAGCAAAAGCACATAGTGCACACTCCATATGTTGCAAAAAATTACACAACTCCTCTGGAGAATGACCACTAGGGGTCATTCAGTGAACAAGAAATATTTAAGGCAGTTGCTTTTCACTTGGGTGATGTTCTGCTTTGCATTTCAATTGTTTTATTCATAATTAAAAACAGTTAAATTTACAAGAAAACTAAGTACTGGATTTCTAAGGATAAATGTCTTTTGAACAATTGTCTATCCCTGTCTCTTATACACTAAGTGACTGCTGACATTTTCAGGAGTGCTGCTTACTTGGACTGGAGCACAGGCATACAGCATGATACCTGAACAGTCAGTCTGTTGTGTACTTCTGTCTTTAGGTAAGTAACAGCCTAAAAACTCTGGTTCTAATTCCAACGTTGAAAATTGTGAAAGTATTGATCTGTTTGGTAGCTATGCATATTCCAAATTACACTGTCTTTTTAAAAATTTTTGTTTAGTATATAATTTCACTGTTTTATCAGTCTTTAGTAGATAAAAGGACCACTGTGTTTTTTCCTTAAACATCAGGAGCAAGATGGACAAGTTGCACATAGGGTTTCTCTGGTGAAATGAAACTAAAGATAGGACAATTAAAGATTTTCTCCTCTGTTCCAGTTTAAATATTTCTTAAATATGTGAAAAAAGTGTGTATGTGTGCAGAAAATGCTTTTTGTACGGGAAAACAAACAAGTGAACAGACAAAAAAAACCTCATGACAATCCTGCAAATAAGCTAGACCTGTTTGTAACTCTACACTTAAGACTGAAACAAAAGAAGGCAGGAAGACAGGTAGGTGTTTAGAGAAGAAAACTGGGAGAAGGATGAGCAGATTCAGCTCGTCAGGTGAGCAAAGGCTAAAAACACAATAGCTCTTACCCAAAAGCCAAGGAAGGAAGAGCTCTTTTGAGCTATGAAACTGCTAGGAAAGATGAGCTGGGAAACAAAGCAAACATGTACTAACAGCTTGTTTTCTTAGGGAAGAGGGCATACAAAGGACTTTCACTCTCATCAACAAGTGTAGGACATAACGCCCTCAAGAATGTTTTGCCAAGTCGGTTTTGTTTTCCATGCTGAAAGGGACATTCCTCCCATTAGAAGATGGTTTTCATCTGAAGTAAAAATACTGCACATAGAAATCTGCAGAGTAAATTCTTATGTCTCTGTACTTCAGAGTTGCCTTCCCACCAGTTTTTCATAGCTGTTCAATCACTTTCCTGCTTGCTACTCACTGCATACATATATCATTATAGTATTTATAATTAGAATGTAAACAACTTCCTTAATGAGAGAAGAATTTCTTTCAGAAATATTTTAATGTGGTTTCTTCCTCAGCCATTTGATTCAAATGGAAACTGAGCTATTAGAATGCTTTTCAATAATTTATTACTCGCAACATACAAGTCCATCAACTAAGTATAAGTCATTTAGGAGCAAAATCTCCATCCTGAAAAGATTTTTGGGCTGCTAAATAGAGAACTATCTCAATCATACCCACCCATTGGGTAACACCCAGTTTGCCAGTGCAAAAAATGGCACAGCTCAGGAATGCAACTTGATTATTACCCTTGAAATTATTTATTTGAAAGAAAATTTAATAAAAATTGTCTTTATCAGTTTGGGTAAATACATGGACTTTTAAGTTCTAAAGTATTCTAAATGGAGCTAGCAAGTCCCAGGATAATTCATACTCAAACACTGCAGTTACAGCTTTAAAAGACTGAAAAACACTCTGCATGAAAAAGTTTTATAGCTAGAAGTGCTGTACACAAGGACTGTAGTAGATCAGTGAATTGCCACAGAATCACTAAGCTTTGAAAGACAGGTTCACAAGAGTCACTGCTGAAAAAGTGCATAAAAGGCTTCCAGAAGAGTGTGATCTGCTTGTTAGAAAGCAGGATGAGGATCATGGAACGCATGCTAGCAAAGAAAAAAAGACATTTACACATTGAATCTCCATTATTTGTCGCTGAATATCAGACCTTTTGATGTAAATTTTGGAGAAAAGCCAGGAATTAAAAGCACATAGATGTTAACCACCTTTGAAAAACAGAGCACTTCAAATAGGTCTGCACAATTAGTGCTTGACTGTAAGGATTTCAGACTTAGCTTTGAGTTTCAATTTTTTGTTCTGTAGCATATGAATATTCATTCTTTTTAGTGTTTTGCGTTGCTTTAATTAGAGGAAAAAGCTTTGAAAAGGAAGACATTTCATCCTAAATATTATTGTCATACACATTAAATAAAGTTTTCTAGTGTGATAGCATTTATTAGTATTCAATTACAGTGAATGCATTTCAGTGGAGAGCATCCAAGGGCCAAAGCTAACAGATTCAAAACACACTAATTCAGTTCAGAAGGTGCTTAAACCCAGCAATTCAAGTGAAGAGCAGACAGAACTCTTCCATAATCCACGTTTTCACAAACTACAGAGTTTTCTTAAGGATTAAAAACAAATATTTTCCAGATGTGCAAGCTTGAAGCAGCTTTAACTGGAGGTCTTCATTCAAGACATCTCTGAGGAGCTTAGAATTCATATTTTCCCAGTGTAACTGCCTGCATTACTAACCAGGGTTATGGCAGAACCACTGCAGGCTGTTTTGGTGTTACGCCATACCGAGATTTGGTCACTTCCTGCAGACCTGCCACTGACTAAAGGTGCCAGCAGCAACTACTGGTTAGTTAACTGACAGCTAACTACATTCCCAAGTAGCACTGGTCTCACCTCTCTGCTTGACCTTACTGCGGCTGTGAGCAGAGCAATAGAGAACAGCCTGTGAAGCATTTGCACCCAGATCTCTCACCATGACTTAAGTTGGAACAGATGATTAGTGCATGTAATCAAATCAAAAGGAGCTGAAGGCTTTAGCCCCTTTTAAGAGGCTTTCAGCCCAGTAGTTAAGGATCAATCTCTTAATGCTAGAGTAAGCATTTATTTTCTTTTGCTCCCTTCAATGTTCAAGATACTCTGTTATGCTGACAGACACACAAGTAAAACTGAAACTGCAGAACTACTGGCAGTTTAGAGCTTCTTGCAGACACGGTTTTGATCAGACTCATTTACCTAGTTACCTGCATTCCTCTCCATCTCCTCAGATGTTCTCTCTTACAACTAGAACCAAGGTAAAAACTGGGAGGGAGCATTTTATAAAGGTCTCTGAAAAGTAGACCTTAGAATTCTTCACAGTTTTGCAATCTCATTGGAATAACCTTTTGAATCAGTAGAGGTTCCTAACCACAGAGCTAAACAAGATCACAAGGGTGAGACCTGGAAAAAGGTCTAGGAATTGTTGTTACTGTCTGAAATAGACTTGCAGTATCTTGGGCAAGCTATGCAGGCCAGATAGGATTGCATCCAGAGTCTGACATTTTGTTCAGAGGCAGCAGATGTTTCCAGGCTGGTACGTGTCTGTTCTGCAAAGCTTCAATTTTGGCAGAAGAAATTCTGAAAAGCACAGCCCTGTGAACAATGCATTGGAAACCTTCAGAACAGCACATACTGAGGTGGGAAAAGAATAGAAAGAGTTCCTTTCATTGCCATGCAAAGAAGGGAGAGAAAGGGAAGGAGGCAAAGAAACAGAAGGTGTGTATCTGGTTAGAAAGTTCTCCTGAAACTGACTGTGAAATATCTCAGTAAGAACGAATCATTACTCCATAAGTACTGTAAGCATTTGTTGTTCTTATTATTTCTTTGTCATAATACTTTCCTGCCACTTTTTATCCTATCAGACCTTCTCTCTAATGTCAAATAGCTAGAGATGTGCTACAGAATTATTCACTGGCTACAGTCAGAATGAGACTGTCCTCCTCATGAATATTCAGCAACTACAGTGAAATGTCTTGATGTTCATCTTTTGCTCTTTCTACCATTCAGAACTTCAAAAGTGGAACAATTTCAGTTCCTTGCCTTCAGTTTAGTTTACCACAGCATTATTTACAGACTTGCAAAAACAAACAACTTGCACAAAATGCAACAACTTACTTCCATATCAAGAAGAAAATATTAAATACCAAATGCTTAAGCCTGGAAATTTCTATTTCAGTTTCACTGTCCACCTAGAACCAATGGGCATATATACATCCTGCTTCTCTCCAAGTTATTAAATAAGAATCTCAGCTTTTCTGAATAGAAATTCCAATCAAGTAATCTAGATGACTGCTAAACACGGTTATGAATAAACAGTATTTACATAGAACACATTCGTACTCATGAAGCAGATATGTAAAGTTTGTCTGATTATGAGCTGTGTTTATCCTGGACTTCAAACTTTGATTCTAAGGCATGGGCCATTTCTTTACCTGCTTTTTGAAGCAGAGTTCCAGGGGAAGTTGGCACAGGATCACAGCATTTTGGCTATGATCTTTTGGACAAGGAGATGCCTGTATGACAGCATATCCTTTCTAGTCTGCAATGGGAGAAAAAGACAGTTTAAACCACGTATTACTTGGTTAAGAAGATAAAGAAGAAAAAACTTACGATGGAGAGGCAAAGAGATTGAAAAGTAGAAAGAATAGATCTCCTTGGGCATTTTGTCCAAAAGCAGGTAGATCAAGTGCAGGAAGAAGTCCTTCATGCTGAGCAAATACAATTTTAGATAAAGAGAAATGCACATCGCGCTTGGATATTGTTTTCCTACCAATAAATTTGGTACACTGTAAGTACTGACAGATGATATTTTAGGGTTTTTGGGCAGCTTCCTAAGACTTTGCTTCTACATCTATGCATGCCCTGAAAACTGAAACACTCTCCATGTGAATCAAACCCCTCTTGGAAGTTGTTTAAACAAAGAACTCTGAAGCGTCAACAATAGGCATAGGTGTCAGTTTGTTGAACTGCATGTTCGGTTTCAAAAGGGAGCATTGGTTTGCACCTCACAGTACAAATACAAGCACCTGCAGTCTCTTTATACTACAGAATCTTAACATATATCAAGCTCAGTGGACTGCGTGCAAACAGCACAATCTGGTAAGAGTCCAAGGAGCAGGCTGACCTGTAGTAGTAGGCATCTACTCATTTATTACACTGTGTTTCATTTGGTCATGAATGATGTGATTGCATTTTGTTTGGTATCTCTCAATCCTTATAAAGGTTGTATTTGCGCGTGGCTCTAAAATCCACACTCAGTGTTTAAAATATATTCACGTGTTAATTTACAAATGACTCAAGTAAGTTTCAGCAGAATGCTCAATAGTTACTAGGAAAATTTTAGGAGATTATTATGATAAATATTTCTTCATATTTACAGTATTACTCAGACTTGGATTGAAATGATTAAAAAAAAGAACCATGCAAGACGAAAGAACACTTCAACAGTATGCCTTTGTTCACAAGAAAATTAGGTTGCAGAATCATCTTTCAAGATGCTATGATAGAATGAAAAACAGAGGTCACAGTAACTTGAAAAAAAAACAAAAACATTTGGATAGGAAGGACAAAGAAGCATAACGGAGGAAGTTAAAGTAGAAAACAAAGAAAGCTTTGGATTTGTAGAGTGAGGCACTTCTAGCAAACTCATCACTGAATTCATAGCCAGTTATCCTTTCGTACAAAGTCTCCTATTTCAATTTTCTGCTAGTCTGATAAAATGACAAGATAAAATTACTTGAATTATAGTTATTTGTGTACAGTTTCCTCTTCTTTCTCAATTAAAATTGTTCTTCCCAGGTAAATTTTAGAGAAAAGTGTCAGCATCTCATAAACATCATTTGCAACATTTCCAGTGTTATCATATTCACTGATAAATTAGGGTAATTAATAAACATCATGGTTGTTTTGCATAGGAAAAAATTGTTACATTTCATTTAGCTTAACACATCTAAACACAAGCTATGTACTCACCCCACAGTGAGTCAACACAGTGCTACCTAAATTCAATCTAATAAATCAGAGGGGTAGCAGCAAGAGGCTTGAGTTGGTTAGGTTGTAAGGCAAGATACTCTGACCTCAATAATTTGTCTAAATAACTATATTGACTACACAGAAGTAAGGTACCTTTAAATTCCCTCTGTTGTAGCTGGTCAATGGAACAGATGGAAGAGCACAGTCTTGTTACTGCAACAAGGTTGTTTACTGCCAAAGGACTACTTTAGCCATCTTTCAATCAACCAGGTTTTTTAGAGGGGAGTGGGATAATGCTGTCATTTAGCCCTTTGTACAAAAAGAAACCTGCGATGATCACAAGGAGGGTCGTGACAGGAAATACAGCTATTTCTTGTTTATGATATGTACAATCTCATAAATCTCTAGTTAACCCAAAATACAGTCCAGACAGAGATGGAATAAGTTCCTTATAACTGAACAATTTAAACAAACTGCTTGTTAAGTTTTTGTTGTTGTTGTTTTTGGTTTTTTTAAGAGCATCATTACTGTTTTGTCAAAATGCTTTGGTTTAGAAATAGTATTTTCATAGCAACCCATTAAACTTAATTTCAGCTCACGTTGCTTTTAGTCCATAGTTCGGTAAAGTTGTTACATGACTTAAACCAGAACATGTTTTCAAAGCTGCATACGAACAGCTGGCTACCTGCTGTGGGGGTAGCTCCATGTGATCCTGAGCCTTTGTGTCTAGTACTTTTGTTCTTGTTCAATTGACCCGTATCATAAAATTACTTCATTTCTTGCTGCCATTCACATTCACCTTGCCTCGTGTGCCTGGAACAGTCTCCATTCTCTTGCATCCCTTACATTTGTCTATACTTGCAGTTTTACAGCAGAGCTAATAGTGACCTGCCCTCAGTGTGTGAAGAGAGAATTTAGCTACAAAAGTGCTTGTTTCAGAGTGCATTTTTAGCACCTAGTTGTTCTCTACAGATTTTTTTCTGTTTTGGTATTGCAGAGCTGAAAATGAATAAGGAGGGTTTTGTGGAACCTGTCATTATAGCACTCCATGAAAACTGCACTAGATGAAAGCCTAAAGCAACTACTGTGGGAAACCACATCAAGATCCAGCCTGTGTGTACTTACACAGCAGCCTATTAAAATTTATTCTGATCTGATATATGACAATGTCCTCCATAATCTTCCTGTGTAATCTAAAATTGTAAAAGTACAGTTGAATGCATCTTTTTTAGCCCAGAGAACACATTTCATACATTTCTTGGAAAAATTCCCAGAAGGGTAGTTAGGAAGGGATGGGCTAACCTGATTAAAAAAAAAAAAAAAAAAAAAAAGAAGAGAAAGCCAAGATAAGCAACTTATACACTTGCCTTTAAAAAAAAAAAAATCTTTTTAGGTGTGTAGGAGAGGTATAGATACAGTTGAACATTTGCATTCAACAAAACTATAAAACCAGTCATTTCTTTCCTACACATGTCATGAGAGGGCTCAAGGCACAATGTTCACTGCCAGTTCTTTCATACAGAACAGTTTGTTTGACACATAGAACACAAACTTCTTGCAGACTTTCCCACTTTTCCCTGAACTTCAAACAATGCAAGCTTTTCATATTATTTACTCAGAAAAGCGTAGCTAAGATCCAGCATGCAGTTTTCCACCTTTCCATAAGATTCACAGCTCAGAGAACAAAATGAGCAGCCATCTTGTTCTGCAATGACACAGCAATATATCTTCTGACTGAAGGAAAACATGGGAGCATCCATCCCTGTGCACACACTTCTGCATACATGGTACTTCTTAGTCTCTATATAATTTGGTAGGTTTGGATAATTTCTTTCTCTCCTCAATTCAGCCTCACCCTTTCCATCTAAGACCACAGTTATCAAACCATTAGCTTGAAAGGCTCTCTTTTAGGATTAACAGTTATAGCCACCCTTGTGATACATCAAGACAGTCTTCCCCTCGGAATCCGTAATCTTTCGCTTCATTTGAAGCCCCTGATTCACTGTGGTTTAAAAAAAATTAGAAGGAAAATGCATTCTTTGGCACTAAGGAAACCCACAAGCTTCTGGCCTTTGTGATTAATCTATCTGATGCCCAGGAAAACAGATGCCTTCCTTCACCTTAATAGGCATGTCCCTGAAATAGCAGGCATGGTAAACATTGACCATCTCTTTACATTTCAGGACATTAACAAAAAAAAATCTCATCCAAGAGACATTGTTTTCAAAAATGTAGGACAAATCACTGTATCTCTTTGAATATTACTGTTTAAAAAAGGCATCAGTTTTCTTTTCAGGTGCTCTGGCTTCAAGAGAAACAGCTCTGATCTGTGGTCAAGGCTTTGTAGTATCCATGGCAGAGTAAGACAAACAATGATGGGAGAGCCAGAGCCTAGCGGGAAATACCAAGGCCTTCTATATTTCCAGGTGAATGGTGAAACTTCACACTCATGCCTTACAGAAACTTTAACTTGATGTTCCTTCTTTAGTAAGCAGAAATCAGATTTCACTGGAATCATTACTGGGAATGCTAAATGGCTTCATTTGCAGATGCCGCTGAAAGGGAAAATCCAGTTCCTTTCTCAATGAGCAGGAGTCCAGATTCCTTCTTGAAATTTTTGCAGTTCTCTTTGATGGTCCCTTTCTACAGCACTGGACAAATGGTAAAATTATTTCACCCTGGAATTGTATTTTTAAAATAAATTTCAGATGAATATTGTGAGGATCTAATATACAAGTTTTAATATTTCACGAAATAATAGAAATGCAGGATACCTTAAAAATTTCAGTTCTCCAGTGCTGTACCTAGTTGGAAAAAATCAGTTTCAAATATCTGCTGCACAGCAGACATTTGTACCATTCCTTACGGAAATACCTTGATCTTTGTATTTGCTTGTGCTTTCTGCAAATTCTGACAACAACCTATAGCACGATGGCCAGTAAAATACTGTGCAGTTGATGCATCTTTTCTGTTCTGTTTTGAAGTAAACTCTGATAAAAAAAAACACCATGAGCTAATGAGGAAGTGCATTTGAGAAAGTCAGAATAATATAAAAAAAATGAAAAAAACAAGTGGCATCTTTTAAGAATGTAGAATATAACAGTGATACATATGACCAAGCTGATTAGCAATTGTTATGGTAAATCGCAGTGACTTCTAATAACAAAGAGAAACAGGCATTTCTGTTCTAATGTTCTGATTAACTCAAACAAGACAGTTATAGCAAGCCACCTTCTTTTATTCCCTAGTTTAGATACAGCCCCTGCGGATTTACTGACCATTAGGCAGGCAGCCAAATGCTTTCCATTTATGTGCTTATTACCACTCATGGAGGGTAACCTTTCTACCATAACTGATTTTAAAAGAACATTTCTAAGTTCCCTTCAAAAAGGAGTAATTTGCTTTAAATGCAGTATAGGATTTTCAAAGTTATCCTTAAACCATTTATGCCTTCACCACTGGTAGAAAGTCTACCTTTAACCAAATTTGAAATGACTGTTTTTTAAAAATAAAAATATGTGGCTTCTCCAGCTTTTCTAATTTACTTTGAAAGTTTTTCACTTTAGTAGTAACTAATTTAATAAAAATAACATGAATCCCTTGGATCCTAGAGAACACACATGCTGCTTTGAGAAATACGGTGTACGAGATGCATTCTTTGCTATATTAGTGATCAGGATGGCTCACTGAAGGGCCTAATGAGCTCCAGAAAAAAGGCAAGAAGGGGACAAAGCTTGGCAGTGAGCAGTGGAGAGAGGACAGAAACAGTGGGAAGGAGGAAAAGAGAGAAGGAAGACAAAGTCCACTGTTTGTAGACAGCATTACATTAGAGCAACACAAAGATTGTTTAATTGGAAGCTGAAGCAGCTGAGCTGTTACCATTCCTCTTTTCTGTGCAGTTTAAGCATCTTCCATGTTTTCATGTAGATATCACAAAAAAAACCACCAGTACATGTTAGTTAGAAAACACACCTGAGAAAGACAGCAGAAACAACAAAAGTGGTGTTTTATGAGACCCTCACTGTTCTCTCTGCTTCTGTCTCCTATCACTTACATTTATAATTCAGGCAATCTTTCCTCATGCACTGCCTGGCTTAACTTAATGTGTAGTTGTTTATTCAGGTAGCTCAGTCCTGCTTCAATAGCACAGTACTCCTTCCTGAGCACATTTTTATAATACATATATTTTACCTCTGTTACTGTGCCTTAAATAGTGACCTGAAAAGCAGGGGACTGGTTAATAAAGCAAACAAGGCAAGTACTGTGTCATATTACTCAAGATCAACAAATGAAATATGGGTAGAGAAGAGAAAGTTACCTAGTAAACTACAAGCCTATTAAACTTTAGTAGTATGCCAGGTTTTAAAACACCCAACATAAGAATTACCAATACATCAACTTAAATGTAAATTTGAAAAGAAGTGAAGGGTAAAGAAGTCTTTCACAGGAAGAGGACTGTACGAGGTCAACCTGGATGCCTTTTTCAGATAAATGCAAAACAACTCCTTTTTTTCCTTGTTTAAAATAAAACCAGTAAGCCTAATTTTGATGGACATCATGAAACCTTTTGATACACAAGTCTTTCAAAACTTAGCTGAAAATGAGAAAGATTACCATGTAAGAGAAAATAAGAATTTAAGGCTAAGGAATGAACTGGAATCAGATCAAAATCACAGAAAAACATAGATTTCTTGGTGTTGGACAGACTGTACTATCTTCATTACCAGGGCAAAAATAGAAAGATTCAACGTGTTACACTGAAACGGGAAGTATATGTTTGGAGCAAAGTTACCAGCTGAATTTTCTAGGATTAGTTTGTAGACTAAAAATAGTGGATAGTATCATAACTAATTTTGGCACACCGTAAGTGTGCTTATGACATTTTCTGATGACAAAGTTTGGAGGCAGTGCCAAAGCAGAAAACGCCTAGAACATCATAAAGGTCATTGAACTTCAGTTACAGAAAGTGGGTGAGTTTAAAAGTACAAAGTCCAAAGTCGTCCCCTTTCAAATCACTAACAGGAATTTTCTACTACCTGCTAAAGGTTTATGATTTAGAAAAGAGGCTTAGGTAAATAAAAAAAAATAATAAATCAGTATTTTCATCTGTTGGAGCAAAATCACATCCCCTCAGGCAGAACTAGTATGAAAAAATGTTACCCTATAGACATGCAAGTGTTCAATCCATTATGTAAGATTTTGGTATGGCCTTTTCTGGAATAGTGCCAAATGGACAACAATCCTGATGAAAGAGATTTAAAAGGATTTATATTATATAGTTTATAATCTTATTATTATTTATCCACTTGAAATGTGAGGAAATGTGTATTATCACTCTCTGAATATACTGGAGATAATGAAAGGGGGAAAAAGAATACCACCAGAAGGAAAGAATTTAAGAACAACTCAGTTTCAGCATAAGATCACCTGCATATATTGTAATTTCCATGATACATTTTTATGACAAATATTTTCATATGTCTGGGATAAAAACTACTTCAGCAGCTTCATTACAAGGGTATGCAGTAGAGAAAAAAAAGACCAAAAAAAAAAACCCTTCCAAGTTGTTTTAAGATGAAAATTTCATAAATTTACAAGTGGGGTTATATTATCAGTTAAGTTGCAGGAAGAAGCTGGACTCCATAGTCCACAAGAGTTTCTCTGATCCTACCTTCTTTCTAGAAAAAGAAAAGCAGGTAAAAAGGCAACAAGTTTTCTGTCCAAATATAAAGAAATAAAATTTAAGTGATATGCAGCTGTGATCTGATCACCAGGACCTAGGTTAGCTGGCAATAAACTGGGCTCTCTTACTTGAAATTTTGGAAAACTTTACTATTCTGTTCCTTTCACAGCATACCCAGCTGCTCTTATAACTACTTCTGGGACATTTCCAATGCAGTTATGGGAGGTCGATCTGTGTCCTATCTGAGCAGTTCTACTTTCGTTTCCATTACAGCAAATAAGGAATTGTTTTCACTATATAACAATTCAGAGCCAGAACCTCTTCTGGTAAAGCTCTTGTATACCACCTATGAAAACAATTTGCTCCCCAGGGATAGCACCTCAACAGAAACTGCTTTCAAGTTTTAGTGAGTTTTTGGCAGAATGGAAAGGAGTTCTTGAATTTTATGTACCTATGACACAGATACATCCAGAGAGGGAATAGTCAGTACAGCAGAGATGAGGACTTACTTGAACACGTGCAGAGGAAAGCCACAAAAATGGCCCAAGGGTTAGAACACCTCCCTGTGAGGACAGGCTAGGTGAGAGAGCTAGGGCTGTGCAGCCTGGTGAAAAAAAGGCTCTGGGGAGACCTGAGAGAGCCTTTCAGTATCTGAAGTGGGAATGTAAGGAGAAAGGGACAGACTCTTTAGCAGGGTCTGCTGTAACACAACAAGGGGAAAAGGTTTCACACTAAAAGAGGGGAGATTTAGCTAGGACATAGAGAAGACTACATTTACATAAAGGGCATAGGTGCACCAGCACAGGTTGCCCAGAAAGGCAGTGGATGCCCCATCCCTGGAGACAGCCAAGGTCAGGCTGGAGGGGCTCTGAGCTCCTAACAGAGCTGTAAGTGTCCCTGTTCAGTACAGGGAGTTGGACCAGATGGCCTTTAGGGGCCCCTTCCAACTCAAACAATTCTATGATTCCATGACAGCTTTCTACAGCACAAACCCAGAGGTTCTGTTTGTCCTAAAGCTCAGCTGGTTTTGCCAACACAAGCAATTGGTCTAATAAAAACCCTTTCTCATTAAAGCCTTGCCTTAAGCATCTTGTAAGCAACAGGGGAAAGCCAAAACTTAAAAGCTCTTCTTTGACCACGTTGTTTATGATGGAAACAGTTTATAAAAGTCTAAATAACATAACTGATGGACAGCTCTATCACTCCCAGTCTTGGGCTCTGGGTTTTGGTGCCCTTGTTCAGTAACAATTGACTTCTACAGTTGCACTGCCCTCAAGGCAGCCAGTAACTGTACTCATTCCCCTGGAAGGTCCATGGAGCAGCTCCCTCACATCACCTTTCCTCCCATCTACACAGCACAGGCAAGCCTGGGCTGTGCTGAAATCATGTGGCTCAGTGCCAGCATACAGCCCACTGCTGCAGCTCTGACCTGGCAGCTCTTGCCTTCATGGGCTCCAGGCTGTTGCTGCACATCTTGGGGCGCCTGCCACTCAAGCCTTCCATTCTGGGACAGACAAGTTTTGTCACAGGGCCTTGGCATTGGGGCTTGATGCTGCCACAGACAAAGCAACTATCAAGGAGGCCATTTCAGTGGTGCTGTTGGCTCTGCTGGGTCAGGAAACGCAAAAGGCAGTGGGCATCCTGGGGCCTCACAGAGGGAAGACCTCAGAGCTCCCAAGAGGCCCCTTGGTCCTACAAAAATGAACAAGTTTATCCACCACTCCCTGATGCAAATTCTGCAGCTTCTGCTTTTCCAGAGACATTTAGCACTAGGTCTGAGCTTGTAAACTCTTCGGGTGGTCTCCTAAGGCAGCCAAGCACATGGGCTATGCTTTTATTTTAAGGAGAAATGGGAAAACCATTTGATTACAAAGGATGCTCAAGCAGGCCTCTTTAATTTTGATTTCTTCCCTCTTTAAGCTATAAATACAGCTGAAGATTACAAAGGGTTCTTAAGTAAATACCAAAAGACAACATTTACAATTTTCCACAGAGCTACACCCTAACCAATAATACAAGGGAATCTGTCCAAAACTTTGAAGTGTTATTATAGTTTGCAACATGGCAAAACACAGGAGTTTCTGTGTATTTATTTAGCCAGCCACCACTCCCTCAGCAAGTTTCTGTATCTGTTTATTTGCTACATCGAAATACACGAAGTTAAGAGTTGTAGTATTTTCAAGATATTTGTATCACAAACTCACATTCGCAATGTCTCTTTAGCTTTTACTTACATGATAAAAATAATACCTGCTTTTAATCTATTTTGAGAGAGAAAGGAAGCCTTTGATATGATAAATCTATTTTGTCCTTAGTTGTTTTCTTCCCACTGCATGTTTTTCCCATGGTTCCAGCAAGAAATTTTTCCAAAAAATATTTTCTGCATTGGATCCTATTAAATAAACAAAAGAAAACAGAAGATGATAGATTTGTATTGTTGTTTGTGACCATTTGGTAGCACATAGAAAGCATCAATTGGTACAAATGATGTAGTTTAACCAAACAATATAATAAAGCAATTACAATTAGGGTAATTTATTTTAATTGTCCATCACTTGGATTACAGTAACTCGTGTGCCTTCCAAAATCAGATTCAGTAACTGAATTATTTCAGAAGACCAAGTATCATGGTTTGTTTTGTTTTATTGTTGGTTGATTTTGATTTGTTGTTTATTGGTTTTGATTTGTTTGTTCGTTTAAGTTAAGAATTTGTCAGGTTGTACTGCTTATGTTACATTTTGATCTTTTTCCAAAATGACTTTCACCTGCAGTAATGTTCTGTAATAAACTCTGTAACATTCATACCCCAAGGAAAATTGCACCCTCCCTTCTGGTAGATGTACTGCATTGCAATTTCACTTAAAAGCATTGTCAGCATATTTAACATGAGTTAGATCCCAGCTCTCTCCTTGTATAGTTTAATGTACTAAAGTTTATGGAAACACCTTAACAGACCTCAATATCTCAGTCAGGTGCAGACTAAAAGGTCAGAATATTTATTTCTCAGAAACAAATGGTGAGCTTTCCAGCAGCAGTGAAGTTGATATTTACCATGTATTGCAGTTCCTCTTTGCTACAATTATAAGGTAGCCATTAAGTTTATGCAAGAAAGCCCAAACATAATCCACTAAAGTCATGTGCAGTGTGGTTTCTAAGGCTTTTTATGAAAACTTGAAAGAAAACATTTGGGTAAAACACTGAATTGCAATGTTAGGTTCCTGGAATGAGAACAACAATATTTTGCTATTAAATGAAAATATTTTAATTACATCAGAAACCACAGAGTTTGTGATGCCTGCTCACACCCCTGTTTCTATAGAAATGCATTAACAATACATTCCAAGTACTTTTATCAGATGGGTGCTACATATTTGACAGGGTTCTTAGCACATAGAATTCCACAGAATTCCAGAGTAGTTCCATCCCAATGTTATTAAAAGCTACGTTGCTTCATTTTGAACTGTTCTAACAGATCCTCAGTAAAGTATATGCATACAAAAGTTAGTCAGAATCCCAGTGCTATATGGATGGCTGCGCAGCAGCACGGACAGGTGTTTGCTGTACGCATCCCCAAGGCAGCAAGTTACTGAAAAAGTTAAATATGCTTTTTATGGACATGTAACAAACATTTTTGAAACTCAACATTTATAGGCAAGCCAAACTGAAATACTGTGTTTCTGCAATAGAAAGTTGCAGTTTGCAAAAAGCACACAGTTTATTTCTTCTGTAATTTTAGACAAGTACAGAGCAATGCTAAACCAGTTAAAATCACAAAGCCAACAGCAATTATTAAAGTAATTTACTGGGACTACCCAAGGGCATAAATGCAGGTATTTGGAATGTTCTGCAGCACTTACTACACCCATAAGTGTTCTCACTCTAAAATGTTCTCTACTGTAAAGTTCAGAGATAGAGAGAGTAATAATTTTCTAGTAATTTTTCTTAGCCAGTACAATGTGTTAGGTGTAACACTAGCTTGATAGATTTACAGCATGTTGCTAAAACAGAATATCAGTTCATTGCCTAGAATTACTGAAGAATATTTGAACTGCAGCCATAGATAGGGAAAGAAGAAAGCACTTTATGAAATAGAAAGAAAAACTTCAGAAAAAAAAGAAAAAACTTTTTATTTCATATTACATATAACACACAGGCTGGCCAGATAAGTGATAGATTTTCCTCTAAAAATATTTAAGTATTATCTGGATGCTCACATGTGAGACCCACTGTAGAAACCCTATTTACCAGGGAAGTGAACTGAACAAACTCTACAGAGCTCTTCCAAGCCCTGCAATTCTATAACTCTTCACAAAACAATGAAAAGCAACAACATAGTAGCAAAGCTCTAAGCTGCAACAAGTGAAGACTTACTCAAACACAAAAGCCATTGACACAGACTACAAGAACAAAAACACTCACACTCAGAAGACTGCAAGTATGCAGGAAACTCCACCAAAACACCCCTACCTCCACCACCAACCCTTAAATGAGGTCTGGGAAGGGGTGGATCCTGGCTATACCCCTTCTGGTCACTCAGGTACATTGCATGCACCTGAGCAGCCCTGAGTTGGCCCCACCTTCCCACCAGGTGCTCAATCATTGGTTCAAGCCCTAATTTATCATTTCCACTACATCTTTGAATATCTCTAATAGATATTTAAAGAAAACGGCTTTCCAAACACTTACTTTGTATAATAATCTTGTGGGTATCAATATCGTCTGAAAGCTTATTGATACGGTCATCTGTGTGGGAGCTACTGAATCATGGCCTGAACCTCTGATTGATCACTTGATACAAGCAATGAGTCAGCCAGGTGAAGCACATTGCTGACACAACGAGTCAGCAATGAGCACAGGTGAAGGCAATTCAGCTGTGTGACCAGAAGGGGTGGAGCCTGGCTGCACCTCTCCTAGGCCCCATTTAAGGGCTGACTTTGACAGAGGAAGCTTTTCTCTCTGGAGATTGCTCCTTTTGGGTTTTTTTCTATAGGCCTAGAATGTGGGTAAGCTTTTTCATTCTTTTCCAATTAGCTCTTTCTAGTGTGGTAATCTAGTTATGTGCTCTTTAATGGTCAGCTTAACTTCTTTGTATGGTTGTCGATTATATGTCATTGTTCTCAACTAACATGTTATGGGAGGTGTACATACAAAAACTGCTCAATTTTAAGAACAGTTAAAAGAATTGCTTTTACTGGTTTTTCTGAAAGCATTACTGATGGTAATCCTGATCAGACTCCTCTTTTCAGTACTGACAATTTTGTGAGTTCTATGGATTAGGTAGAAGAAAATCAACTAAATTTGGAATGAGAATTTGTTTATTACTGTCTGCTAACTTCAAGGTCAGATTATTTTAACTTCAAGCTTTAACTCACTGCCTCTTTCAGGGTGCAGAAAATAATCTACTAAATTGTTCTTTAGAGAATCTAGTTCTATGTAATAAAATTTGCTCAATTTTATTTAATTTTAGCAGATTATGCATCAGAATTAAGATGAATGTCTAGTCTGTGTCTTTGACTGTAAGGAGGAAGTAAATGTTTTATCAAAGTCGCTTTTTGTGGATTTTCTTCTTTTCTCTTTTTAAACTGGCTAAAGAAAGTTACATGATATACAGTAAATGTTGAAGTTCTAAAACTTCAGTCAGTAAAAATGGATTTTATCTTGTATCTTTGTATGCATCTCTTAACCAGTCTGGAGCATAACTTTAAAAGTAAATTAATCTTTAAGAGTTATCTACTTGAATGTGTTTTTGTATCTTGATTTTTTTATAATGAACAATAACAAATATATGTAAGTATGTAGAGGGCATTGTACTGAAGAGACAAGTCAAGGAAAAGCTGCAATAGGATATTTAAATCAAATTATAAACTATTGTTATTTGAATAATGTTGATCTATTTTTAGGATAAAAATGGAATGATTTAAATACAAAGCAAGATAGATGGGGGCAGCTGAGAAACAGTGGGTTTTGTATTGTATTTTGTAAGACATAATTTATTGGTCTCCTCCCCTTTTATGTGTCTTTCTGGACATACTTCCCTGAAATAGAGGGTGAATAAATATATCTAGGTTTAGTGCAGGATGGTATAGATTTCAGCAAACTGAAAATTAGTCTAAATCAAACTCTGTTTTTAAGAATGTAGTCAGTTTACCCATTCAATAGCACATCTTTACTTGTAGTAACAGGATCTGTAATATGTTAACTGTAAGAAAGGCAATTTTAGAGCAGGAGCAATTCTTAACAACGAAGTTAAAAAAAAAATAAAAATAAAAACCTAAATCCAAATAGGTTTTACTGATAGATGCTAAGTTCCAATACTAAGAAAACTAAGTTCAAAGCATGGGTCAAAATCTTGGAATGCCTTGAGTATTCCCTGAGGAGTTAATGTTGATGAGGCATCTCGAGAAACAGTTTGAAATCCAGCTGTTTTTTTATGGCTTAGCATGTAATTCCTCCACAGTCATCATAGAGTAACAGTGTGTTACATGTAAGGTGTTTTTCCTTGTTGATATATGTAGCCTACTATTTCAACATTTTATATGTTATGGTATGCAAAAAAAGTAAGTCAGTGGCAGCTCAAGCCATGGATGTTGTAGATTTGTGAAGTTATTTCTCTGTTGTTTTAAATAGAAACGAGAGCTGCATTCAAATGAACTAGCTCAGCTACTGAAAGTAGTGTAGCTATGGCAGCATGCAGTTCAGTGTCAGCTGTAAGATGTGCCTGTGAAAGTAAGTAAATATTTGGACAACTTGTTGGCAGAGTTCTAGTGCTGCAACAGTACCCAGCCAGCACATGTGGCACTCAGAAAGAGCTGGGCCTAAGAGTGTTGCTATACCTGTCAGCTGCTCAGTGCTGTGGAGCGGGCCCAGATGCTCTCATGAACTGGCAAAAAAAGGAAATAAAAATCTCTATTCTGCTTATGAGTGTGTGTGTGGTAATCTCTTAATCAAAAGTGTAAGACTAACAGTTGCTTCTGCTCAGCTTTGAACCGTCAGTACTTTTCTCTTCCGTATACTCTGGTATAATCATTATCATCATCCAAACAGTATTACTGCTTCCTCTGTATACATGTTTTCTATAAATAAAGTGTTTACGTATTCATCTAATTATTCAGATGATCACTTTACAAACTTCTTTTTTGTTTCAGTACTACTACACTGAGGAGCCCAAGAAGATGGGCTTTGCCAGGAGTGCTTCAAAATGTTCACGGAAGGCCAGATGCCATTCCTCTAGAAAACTGCAAACCTGGATCACTTCACAAAGTTTCTTTGTAATGCAGTCTCAGCTCAGGGCAACAAGTATGTGACCAATGTGTGCTAGTTTCAAACATCTAGGGATGGTCATTTAATATCTACATAGGTTTGTTTCCTGCTTGGGAAAGTGTAAGCATGCAAATGCTTTGAGGGCAAACAGATATCCCATTGAAGTGCATTCTAAGGCTTGTCACTTAAGCTGACTGCACCAGTGCCTTTACCTTCGGTGTCTGAGGGTAGATTTAACGAGGTGATTGAGGTATTATTAGCAACTAAATGATTGTTAGAAACAGCTCTAGCTAAGTCAGCTGACTTTACAACTCTGCTGCCCTTAAAATTGATTTCAGGAAAGCTTTTTTTTTTCTAGCATCTAATTTGTTTTAGATATGAATAATTTACAGGCTTCTTTTATGATATGCCACAAAGGATCGATACAAATATAAAACATACCACTGTATATGCCTGCTATTGCAAAATCTGTGCTGTTCTTTTTACACAACAAATCTCAAATATATGTACCAATTCAATACAAATTATTTTCTTTAAATCATATGAGCTATTAATTCAATAGCTAGTAGTGTTTCTTAGCTTTCTTTTATCTTCCTCCTAATTACAAAGTCAGATATCCCTGTTACTTTTCAGTGCTCAGCATGGGTAACAATAATAACCATTCTCTTCTCAGGGTTTATTTCTAACTGCTGGAAGTTTCTGCTGGGGAAAAATAAGGCAAATTGAAATAAGGACTAACACTAATAGTTAGAACCTGTGTTTCCAAAATGGTGGTAGTAGCATTTTGTTTGATACATATTTTATCATATTTATGCTTTTAGGTACTTATTATGCACAGACATTAGGAAATACTGTTATTTAGATGGCCTATACTCATTTGGCTCTGTGGTTTTTGTCAGACAAAGTCATAGAAATGCATTTGCTCGAGAACATCTAAGCTCTGCAAAATGCACAGTTTGGTCTCCGTACTGTTACAACGGGGCTTCGGAAATCAATATTAGTATGACTGATGATAGTTTGCTCTGTCCAGAATGGCTTGGATCTGATCAGAAGGTTCCACAATTGAGAACTGAGTTATACAGTGGGGGCAATTTCCATAACGGGATTGAAGGGAACCTAGAGCATAGCAGTGCTTCAGTTTATAGCCTGAAAATTCAATTAGTATCTATTTGGAATCTAGTTGGTTAAACACAAGAAGTGGACAGGAACAAATGAAAGTGGTTAGTTACTATAAAGAGCAACATCTTCTGAAAGTACATGTAAGCAGTGAACACTGGGTACATTATACATTTTTTCCTCAAATATGTATAAGCAGAGTTTGCCACCCACTGACACAAGATACTGTCAGAGCCAAGATTTGCCTGGTTCTAAAAATAGCATAAAATAGATGTATTTTAAGCTTCCTTTAGGTTGGAGACAATAAATATTTAGAAGTTAGATTTATTTAGCTTATAATCTAAACAAAATTTCGCCAAACTTCCAAGTCTGGCAGGTTTTACTAGTTGTTCATTTACAAGCTTGTTTTCAGTGATGAATTAACAGAGCATTTATACTCAGGGTAATTGGTTTGGATAATGTCCAGTATGTGGCTATCTGGAATATAATACGAAGCCTTCATAGGTCTGGCCATTGTTGTTATATGCATCTACGCTTCATTTGACCCTGGCAGCTCTCTGTATTCTAAACTGTATTTCTCCATCTCCTCTGTTCCTCAGAGATTTTCTAGTGCATTTTATTTTCCGTATTAAAACCAGTGTTAGCTGCATACCCTTCTGGAGGTGTATACTTCTATATAATATTGGAATGACTTACATCCTCCTGTACAAGGTCCTAAAACATAGCCACTGCTATGGTCTACTGCTGTGTTTAACTTGCAATTTTTCCTTTAAAATTCAAAAATATCCTTCCATTTTACCTTTTCTCATTCCTACAGCATGTAGCAGAATGAAAACTGAAAACAAAACAACCTCACTTCTGTTCACCGTGGATACTTTAGTTTCATTTGTAATGTTGGCAGAAAAGTGCATGGCTTTGGAAGGGATTAGTTAACTACTACTTCAGTGCTAGGAGCTCCGAGGTACCACAAGCTGTGCATGTAGCAGCAGTAAAGGTAGGCCACCACTGGTAATACCAGCTCTTGTCCCTGGGTTGGATTAACGTGATTTTGAAATGTTTCACTGACCAAGAGCAGTGTGCGTACCACAGAAATTCCCATTGG